AGAAAAGCTGGAACGATGAAATCTTAGGGGAATTTTCCCCGTCCACATGAAATAACTTAAAGTTTTCGAATTCACTTTCCCAGGTGCATGGAGTACTCACGCACGCGCATGTGAAAGTTTTGGTGGAAAAATTACTTACTCGGGAATCAGAAAAGCTAAAAAGCTGAAATTCTAGGGCAATGTTTCTTGTCCAAGTACAACTTAAATGTTTCGAATTCAGCTTTCAGGTATGAGTGGTTCTCATGTATGAGACATCTAAAAGTTTTTGCGGGAAAATTGCTCACTGAACAGCTAGGTCACTTTCAAAGAACAGCCGTTAAATGGAATTGTGCATTTACTTTATGTAAAATTTATGATGATTTACGTCAGCGAAGGCAAAAGCAGGTGTAAAGCAACAACCATTCCAGCAGTCAACGACCTGAATAGTTCAAATCCGGTGCAAAAAGGCGCGGTCGCACTGGCAAGCCTGGTGCGCTCCAGCCTGGATTTCCCTGCTACTATTGATTGTGGCAACTGATTCGCGTGGGATCCCTTAGTTGCATTGGCAACCCTATGGGCTCTGGTAAGCTCAGTTAGGGTGCTACTGCAAAAGGTTCAAAAGACTTCCGCATAAAAAGCAAAAACGACTACCTTTTTGAAATCGTGCACAAATATAGCGGGGCGATTGGACCCAAAACGAGACACGCTGATCCTCTCGTAGTACTGCAAAATTTCGCCTTAGTGCTAAAAAGACGGTGCGTTTTCAGTAGTTGAACAAAAGAAGGAAGGAGTTCATTTAAGATGAATAATAGTGCGCAATAGGATTTAATGAGTCAAGTTACATATCAAGTTCAAACAGAAGCATATTAAAGCGAAAAGGAGGAGCATATCCCAAAATTTTCAAGCCGAAACACATCTCAAAATTTTCAAAAGTGAAAAAATCTGACAAGCTAGCAGCGTTGAAATGAACGCATGTTTAGACTGAATACTTTATGAACGGCATCCTTTTACCTCATCCGGATTTATTTCGAGACTTTCTTCCAGTCGCTCATTTCTACCACGCTGGATAAAACTTGTTCCACACCATCCGTAATAAGTTGGCCGGCGACGCAGTTGACGATAAAAGAATGTTCCGGCCAGGAATGATGCAGCCAGGAGCCAAAAAAGTAGCAGCATCATGCACAGGCTCGTAAATGTTTTGTATTTACGAATCCGCGCAAGTATTCCAGTTTCATCTCGCTGATAGACTGCTGAATCAACGCATACTGTAGCGAAGGCTTTCGGCCCCAGCGGTTTTTTGCCCTCCGGTACCTCTCTTATTCTTGTAAATACTGTCATTTCATCTGTAACATTACAGTTGTTAGATCTATTTATAAAGTAAGTGCGGGCACACAGCTTCACTTTTGTTCGATTCTGCGGAAAATTTCTGTGATCGATTTAAAACTTCTTGCGGGAAAACGCAGAAAAAAGACTGACTATCAATCAACCGAAGTAGCGGATATGTCGGTGAGTCAAATTACAGAACAGCATATTTATAAAGTGTATATAGCACGGCATTTTCTTTGTAAATTTTCGTACTTTATGGCGAGCGTATGAACGGGCACTTTTTGATAATTCACTAAAATTTAGTGGCAAAAACTTATCAAAAATTCAGTATAAACAATATATGCATTGTCTCAAAAGGGGGCACTTACTGTCGACATTACAAGAACAGCTAGCTCTGCATGTGACATGAAAATAAGAAAGTGAAAGAAACAGGTGAGGAATAGCTATGGTTACAAGGAAGGCTTTGCTTGTCAAGAGCTTCGCTTTTCCTTTAGGCTTCGCTTGTCAAGAGCTTCGCCCCAAGCATATTGAAAATATCTTCGATTTCGCTTATTTGAAGTCAGAAAGATTCCATTTGTTTTTCAAATTCAGTTCAAGCCAACAAAAATTTCTATAGTTTCGTGTCAATATCAGCTTAAATCAACAAATGCCCACGTTATTTGATGCTTGCAGGTAGCTGCATTACGTTCGCACTCACTCCGGTACCATAATTTTTATGGAAAGTCTGTTAATTTTAGTAGAACGAAAAGGCTTTTAATAAAAATACGGGTTCATTCTTATCATTCAATTGCGGAAATATCATTAAAATGCCAGCAGAGAACGTAGGCTGGAACGCACCAGGCGAGCCGGAGCGATCATGCGTTTTTGCACAAAACTTGAAT